TGCATAAATTCCACCGTCGCGTTAAACGTTCACGGTATCGTTGGCTGATTTACGTCGCTGATAAATCCACGAGGCTGCTTGTAGCGCGAGCTGCTTGAATTTTCCCGTGGCTCGACGTTCGTGGTCAACGCGATCGCGGTCAACGCATCTCGCTGCGTAAAATTAACGCGAGTTTCTCTCGCGGAACGCAGTCGGATGCGGATTTACGAGGGAGAGATGAAAAAAACTGTAGAGAGAGGAGAAAGAAACTATGAGAGGGGTGAGAAAGAGAAGGAAACAGAGTGTGCGTGTGTGTGAGAGAGAGAGAAAGAGAGAGAGAGAGAGAGAGAAAACGGCACAAAGTGGACGTTCGTGAAAAGATAATGGAGCGGACGGATACGTGAATGTAAGTGGGAGTCGCAGGGAAAACGTGTCGAGCATTGTTCCCCGTATTACACATTCCCTGTGTCGCGTCTTTAGAAAAACCCTCCGCCTGCGTTCGTAAGGCGGATAAGGTGTGTACACGACGGAAGGTCCGCAATACGGCTTTCCCTATCTCTCTTCCGTGATGCAAGTTTTGTGTTTACATCACGCAAAAACTGCTAGGGAAACGATGCTGCCGCTTGGTGTACGGCGGTACCGCCGCCACCGACACAAGGTGAATAGGATGCGCCGAGTTTCCGGTTCGACTGCCAGTTCCAACTGCTTGGAAAAGAAACGCCAGGCTTCCAAATTCAATTCAGCCGAGCAAAATAGAGATTCTAATCTTCGGCGGGCAGCCTCCAATCGAGGTTCGATAGCGATGGAACACACGAACCAGTTGTATCGTGTAAATGAATTACGGAATAGGAGAGGGAGGAAACGGTGAACGATGAGTCACGTTGGATTTGGAAAGGAGAGGGCTACAGTGTAGTGATTTTCAAAGACAAGGCTGTCACAGAGACGACAACTCGGGAATAAAACGACGAAAGCAGGGAGAATCAATGCATTCGATCGGCAAATAACAGCGAAAGTATCAAAGGAGGTTCTTGAGAAGGAAGCGCGTAGCACGTGTTTTGGTGCCCGAGAATTTTAAAGAGCGGAGGCATGCGTCAATGTGGCTAAGTGGCGGTGGAGAGTGTGTGTTTGTTTTGTATGTAGAGCTGGCTCTTCTCAAAGGGTGGACAGTGGTGAAAAAGAGTTTAAAGTCCAGAAAGAGAATTTTGAGAGAGCATTAGCGAGCAGCGTGTGTTTAGAAAGAGCAAATTTTAGCAAACACGGACGTTGTGTTTTCACTTCCTTGTTTGTCAACGCGCGTATTCAACATACACGAATATATATATATATATACATATTTTCCACCAAAAACGTTATCGAATCTCTCTAAACCTTGATTGAATTCAGTTATTTCTTGTAAAGAATTTCCGGTCCCTTGATCGCCTGGTGTACCTTATTTTCGTGCCGTGCTTGCAACTTCCTCTAATTAAACGCGATTTCCACGTTCTGGAAAATCCCGTTCCACAATCTGGACTCGGACAATATTTCCTGGAATCGCGTCGAGCGAAAAGAGCGGATTTCTTCGAGGGCACAAAACGAGCCAGCATTCGGCGTGTCTATTATTAAGGCGGTCCCTAGTCAGCGACAATGGCGTTGCTAATAATTACTGTTGTACAATTGATATTGAGCGGCGCGCGAATGACTCGCGACTCGCCAACTCGTGCATTTTCCATAGATATCGCCGGTCTTTTCAAGCAACGTCACGGCGGGACGGCACAAAAGGAACGGGATGAAAGTAGTTTACAGAAATGCTTTCTTCGTCAGGGTCAATTTACGCGAAACAGCGCGAGAGTCGTCGTCTGCTCTCCGCGGCCACCTTTATTCACGCTCCGCGAAATGAAGTCCGCTCGAAGGAAATTCTTTCGTCTGTGACACCGTTGCACGACTAAGAACGTCTGATCCGGTCACCCGCGTTAATTAAGTGTCCATTTTTCTCTGCCCCGCGATAATTAATACACCCCTCCTTTTCACTTCCGGCCGTGCGCGTTAGAAAAATGAAATCGCGAAGAATACCAGGCTTCTTAACGCGGACATCGACGCATCGGATGTCGAAAGCAATAGAAATCTCGATCGTTTCGCAACACCGTTGTATTTGTTACGTCTATATAGATATCTATAGTTCGTTTACGTAACGTCTTTTCAAGGTTTTCTCGTCTTTTCTCCACATTTTCGCGAACTTGTTGTAACTCATTGCGAAACAAAGGTGACACGAAAGAAATGATTCTGCAAGATTCGAGTGAAGATGTTGTTCTTGATATTCCTCTTTTAAGCAAGTATTCTACGCCGAGATCGTAATATCGATAGCGAAAATGAGAAACGTCTTGGGTCTTCTTCTTTTTCCACCATCCGAGAAATTTCTTCCATCGGAGTGGCAGCCGGAATGGACGAATATCATACTTCCTCTAGCTAGGATGGCCCGAGGTCATGTCTGTTTTTGACATCGCCGAGTCTTATCGTTCAATCGCGGGAACTTGCCGACGTTGAAAATACGATTCCACGCGGCATACGTATCGCGTCGAATTACCAACCGTACCGTGACACGGTACAACGCGTGTCATCGACGTTGCCATCGATCGTCTATTCGCCGCCGATAGTTTTCCCTCTCAGCTCTCTCTCCAACACGCTATTTTTCCTATCTCTCTATCGGAACAATTTGCGAGATCGCCGATTTGTTACCGGGGAACATTTCGGACGGAACGAAAATTCGTGGAGGCAATTCCGCCACTCGTAACGAGAGTCACAGCGAGGGAAAAGAGATGGGCAAAAGAGGGTGGGACGTGGAGGATATTTGCAGTGGTCGACTGCGAAATTTCAATTACGCGTGTACCAGAGGTTGATTCGATTATCGAGGCCGGCTTGATTACCGATTCAATTGTTGCAACGAGTGCATCGAGGAATTTGTTCCTGTTTGCACTAAAGCACAGCCGTCGCATCTATTATGCAGCGCGATCCTTCGGCCCATGCTTGTGCTCGCGCACTCTCTGACACCTTTCCCCGTGTTACACCGTCGCGTCACATCGTTCTATCACGCGGACATCCCGTGTAATTTTCCCTTCCCCGGCTGTTTCCCGTCTCTTTTTCGCTTCATTCAGCACGCCCGCCCCAGCTCGCACCACGCCGCGCCACCCTCCGCGCGCACACCTCCGTCAGCCACCCACGCAGCTCAGCTAACTTTTATTCTCTCTCGTTCCCGATGCACGGGCTGTATTTCCGAGGGCGTTAAACGACATAATGCGGCAATTTTGTTAGGCGCTGGCAGCAAATTCGCGGAGGTGCGAATGGCGGTGGCTCTTATCCTAGAGGGCCATTAAGTGATCTTTCCCCGATTATTACTGCCAGCTAGGGATATTCCATTTCCAGCAGTTGCGAGGAGAAAAACTGCCTCGGATATTACGGCGTTGGAAATTCGCGTCTCATCGCCGACGAAAGGACACTTTAGCCTACCGTAATGTGTGCCGCATTATATAAAATTACGTACGATCCAGCCGGTGCACGAGAGCGAATTTTCGTGGCCATCGTTCCGTGGCAAACACCGATCGAGACGTTCGCGTCGCGCGAGCCGAACCTCTCACGCAAGCTTTTCAGCTTTTCTTCCTTTAGGAGAAATTAAATCGATTAAAAACGAAACGAAATTAACTTTGCTCTTAATAGCGCGTAATGCATCTACGATTAAAATTTAAAACTGCTGTCAGCCTCTGCATCTCTATCGCCAGAAATGGTTGTCACATTTTAAAGGATAGTTTTTTAATATTTAGATTTACTGTTGAACATGATTTTACCATGTTTTATATATTTCACGATTTTTCGTTTTTGCATTTGAATGGCAATGCGATGAAAATTGTTTTTAAGTGAAAAATCGATTCCCCTCTTTATCGATACTAGGCTACGTCGATCGATCGATATCGTGATCACCAACGATCGATATGGCTGCACCAACGGAGCGAAACGTCTGCCTTACCGTCTATCGATTATTTCGAGACGAGAAACTTTACCGTGGATCACTACATTCGCGAGCAGGTGGTGATGTAAAGTACCTGCGATTTATCATTCCAATCGTATAATATTGCGAGCGGATACGAAGAAGTTAAATAAGAATGTTGAGAAGATAAAGCACATCCTGGTGAAATGGTAGTGAAAACGAATGCCTACAAATTGTAAAGATCATTTGAAATTCCAAAGTAATTATACTTCACGATTGAAAAATGAGTATCCCTGATAATTACGCCGCAATCTAAAAGTAAATTTGATTGTAGAAGGAAATTCTGTTAAATGATCGTAATTACATCGTAATTACATTATCGCGTGAGATTCTCACGTTGAATTTCTGCAATGGTATTAAGATCCCATAGGAAAGAAAATGGAATTCTCGATTCTCGATTCATCCAACATCCCAGTGCATGAAACCCAAACGAATGTTTCAAGCTGAAAATCTCGACTGGATGTGATTAGCAATAGAAGTTGAAGCACTAGCGACGACTCATCCGTACGACGGATAAGGATCACGGGTAAAGTCGAAAAGAAGCGTCTGAAGGAGCGATGCGAATAAAAGGATGATCTTATTTCGTCAGGGATACTAGGAAGCACCGCATTGCGGCAATATCGCGCGACCGAGCGAAACTACGAGTGGGAAGCTCGTCTTGAAAACAAGGGACGCCATTGGGAGAAAGGGATAGAGAGCGAGGCTCGAAAAGAAGAGTGTGCACGAACAACTGGATGTTGGCTTCGCCGTGATTTAAGAAGAACAAAGGGTGAAGAATGTTGGATAAACGGGGAAGAATCGTGGCGGATAGCGCCGTAGAGCTATGGCGAGAGAGTTGAGATCGGTGTCGATCGGAGGTTAAACGGGACAGCTATAAGCTTCGTTGCTAGCTACGACGCGTGTATCCTTTTCGACCGTGCGATCGGTACCCCAGAGAAGATCTGGCAACAACGGCTGAAGGAGGAGTGATCTTGTAGGAGCATTGGCCACGGCGAGAACGAGAAGAAAGGAGGGAACCGGCGTTGGTGGAAAGAAGTCGGCGATCTCACCTTAGGAGAGAACGGGAGGAGAAGAGCCGAGGAAGGCGGCAGTACCGAAGCAAGCCTGTCTGGTCCAGCGTTCGCAAAACTCGTCTTTCGCACAGGAGAAATAGCTCGCGTTCAACGTCGAATCGACTTCCGGCCGAGCACGGTGCGTCGCGCGTTTTCCCTCGGCTTTTGTCGCGTTTTTCTTCTTTTCCTTCTCGCCATTTTTTTTCCATCGATGCGCGATACTCGCGGGATTGCGTCCGCGTTGGTAGAATAACGGGAACCCGGCAGAGAAAAGAAGAAGAAAAAAAAAAACGAAGGGAGAAACGGCAGAAAGACAAGCGGGAGGGAAGTTTTTGACGAAACAATGTTTCGCCCCGTGGGAGTGTGAGGTGCTGTGGATCGACTGAAAATGCAGTGTTTCACGTGCGAACAGAATACTCGTCCACGTGTGCCACGAAAACAACGATTTTGCTCGTCGCGGCTCGCTTAGACTCCACTTTCGAACGTTCCACGGTACGTTCGCTCTCGCCGAGACCGACAAGAAATTGAGAGCAACACGAACAAGCGATTCCGCGTTCCTCAGGTGAGCTTCCCGTATTTCGATATCGCGATAATTCATCTTTCTCGAAACGGGCGAGTCTCTCTCGATCGCATTCGACAGCTAACTAACGACTTTGTGTAACGACCATTTAATTCCACGTACATAATTCATGCTGATAGATGTATGTTTATTTACGTATAAACTCGAACAGCTAAATTCAAAACGAGCACGCAGTCGTAGTTTGTGCGCGAATAGAGACGCAATGACAGGATTTCAAGAGTTCAATAAGGTATGTAAATAACATCTATGCAAAATCTAAATTAAAATCTGGGTATCACAGTGAATATAATATAGAGTCACTTACATAAATATGATCGCAATTTAAGAGACAAATTTTCGATTAACGTTGATACTAATGAAAACTTGAAACGTTCGTACAGACGTTAAGAGACAAATTTTCGATTAACGTTGATACTAATGAAAATTAGAAACGTTCGTACAGACGTGATATATTTCAAATACTTGTGTGAGTTGCTGTATATTTTATAGGAAGAGACGTAACGTTCGTTCCGGATTACCTAATCGCGAGCAGAATGGCAGCGTTAACTTATAATTCGACAATTTAACAGCGCGCGTATCGGGGATCGTTTGCCGCATCGTTAATAAATTTTCTAGCGCGCAATCTATGCAACCGAACTGATAAATAGAAGCCGGGGGTCGGATGACTTTTTCATCGAACGAGAGGCAACGTTGGAATGCGGGATGACGGGAGGCGTAGCGAGGAAAGGGCAAATGACCGGGAATCACGCGGAGCCCTCGAGCTGTGGTGCGATTGACGTTCGTCACGCGTTCGAAAACTACAAAACCCGAACTAATTAAAAGGGAATCAGCCAGCCGCCGTGACACAAAATCCTCCGTGTCGATCGACCGGCCGTGGCTGAACGACACGAACAAAGAGAGAGCGCCGAGAGGAAGAAAGACGAGGCTAGAGTAACGCTGCGTCGCGACGCGGTGCAAATCAAATATTAATCGCGCAATTAGCGCCGATTGTACGTTAATCGGTTTTGTCTTTTCTTTCTTTTTTTTTTTTTTTTGTAACTTTGCTCGTCAGCCGGTAACGCGGATGCAATCGGAAAACATTCGAGACGATGACACACGTTCTGGCATACACGTTCCTCTCCCTGTCATCAGTCACTGGTTTATTCCTGGTCGACATCCCCCCCTCCCCACCTTCCTTCTCCTCCTTCCACCTCCATTAATTTCGGATTATCGCAAATTGCACAAACTTCACCCCCAACACGGGAGCCGGCAACTCTCGCGCGATCACGCGTTTAACACTGGAAGAAGCGTTCGTTCCGCCGCTCTTCCGTCTTAATTGGCTTGATTGTTTCCGAAGAAAGGTTAATGAGTAAAAGTTTCGCGGTACCTAAGAGAGGTTAGGTACGGTAGAGGAAGTAACGTTGGATTTTTAACTAGCCGCAAGTATGAAGTACTGTGCGCTAATTATGAAATATTTAAAAGACTCGGCAAGTCGGCTGAAGTTTAAGAGAATATCGGAGGAAGTTCCCTATTAGGCGTATAGAAGTTTGTATAATTTTTTAAATTTACGAACCGTAACTAGAAGTCTCATAAAAGATGTAATTTATAAGGATATTTGAATCACTCGTACAATGCCTTTTTTGTAATACCAATTCATAAATTCAATCAAGTACAAAATTGTATTATTCAAAGTTATTTTACCTTTTTATTGTAAAATCATTTAATCTGTTGTGTAGCACATCTTCAATATCGTCGCACACAATTATTGAATCGTGAGTACGTACTTTTTACATTTGATATAAAAAATGTGGGAAATATTAAGAATCACTTTTACTGATCACTGCGAAATATGTCATTATCTAACTTCTAGTTCTGTTTGCCACGCAGTTACAAGGCGTCATTGGAAGTAGAGTTGTGGGGGCGGCGTCAGGAGCAGCAGGGATGTCTGGCGAGGCAGGTTTAGCCGGGGTACCTAGACTTCTGGAGGATCTGGCTCGACTTTCAGAAGACAAAGATACAGCCGACATTATATTTCTGCTAGGAAGAGACGAAACGCCAGTGTACGCTCACAGAATTATCCTTCAAGCGAGGTCAGTATTATGTGTGTGTGTGTGTGGTCATTTCCGACCAATCGAATCCATCTTGCTGATGCACTCATCGATATATCCCAGTCGATAAGGGGAAACATTTTAAACCCGAGAAACTCACAATGAGACAATTTATATTATTTTCACTTGCTCCTGATATCTTTCAACGTCTCCAGAGACGCATGCGAGCTCGACGAGTTTCTATGAACGGCGCAAGCGAGAGGGAAAATTTTATTAAAAGATTGAGAGAGAGAGAGAGAGGTAACCGTTCGAGCGACGTATCCTGGGATCGAATTAATTGTTAATCGTAATTTTTATTAAAACAGCTCGTGTCTGGTCGATCGATTCGTAGCCGATATAGATTTCCCTGGAGACCTGACATCCGGAAGCACGTGCGAGGCAAATCACACCGGTGACAAACACGTTTACCCCGTACAAAGCCCGGAAAATACTCGCGGCCCCGGTATTTTCAGAGTGCAACCAGCGAAAAAGGAAAGTTGGAGACAACCGAGACAATGGGTCTCGTCGTCTCCCAGAAAATAGAGAATTAACGTGGAACGTGGTGCATTACGCTCCGTCTTATCCCCGGTTACTTTTTGCAATGGAAATGGAGAGGCGTACGTACGTAGCATAACGAAGGGAATTCGCGTTTGAAAATATTTTTGCGATTCGTGAAACTCTTGCGAGATACCGCGAGACACCGCGACTCACCTCGGTCGCCTTCCACGAGACACGAACTTATTTCGCGGTAACTGCGTTACAAACTTTTCTTTCGTCGTTGAGGCCGAAGTCGCGCAACCACGAGTAGAGCGGAACGAGGGGAAAAACGAAAAGATTGGCTAAAAGTTAACTTTCCTGCGGAATTGCAAACGAATCCAACGGGAGGGAAATGATAACTTCGTTAAATTCTCCAAGTCACCGAAGGAACCTATACATAATTCACCTATTCCTGCCGCACGCTTTATATCATCCCTCCTTCTGTTTCTGTTCCGGATAAAGGGAGAAGGAGTATCCAGTCGGAAGGGTACTCCAATCGCGAAACAACTCGCTCGATCGGGCGAGACTCTATGAAAATTCTTGGTCGAATGAACGGTTCCCGGGAGAAAAATCGCCAAGTCATCAAAGTTTCTTCGAAACGAGCAGAGAGAGAGAGAGAGAGAGAGAGAGAGAGAGAGAGGGGGGATGACGAAGTTCGCGACGGCGATGAATTTTAATTAAGGGACTCCGATTGTTACGGTGAAATGAATCGATCGAACGTTCTAATTAGTTGGATAATAAGAGGAGAGGCGCATTCTTCCTCTCTCTCTTTCTCTCAGAGACGAGTTATCCGTGACGAGTGCCAGTACGAGGGCACCGCATTTTCACTCGACGAAATTCTAATTGCTGTAAGAAGGGCTCGGTTTGATATTAGGTGGAGGAGCCTTAACTTTCGAGGCAACGACATTCCACTGGATAGGCTCGATGCTAATTGTAAAGTCAATTACGATATTCCTGTGAACCCTTTTGATATCAGGGTGTGTAAGGGAACGTCGGTCCTTTTGTCATCGACCCTTTTTCCTCCGATTCTCTCTTTCTCTCGTTCTGTCGCTCATCTCGTGCCTCGTTTTGCCGACACCGGCCTCGGAAAATTAAGTTACGCATGCTCGTGACAGGCGTCCGTAGGAGAAACGCATGGACAATACGCGACCGCACTCAAAACTCTACGCGGCGCTCTCCAGTCCGGTGAAAATCCTGACAAAGAGTCGTGATCCCCCCGTCCCACTGCCCATCCCGCTCTTGTAGTCCTTGTCATTTCGAAATGCGACGCAGATGAGAACGATGCTTGACAACGAGAGAAAAGAAATTGAAAAATAAGCTCATGCTTCGCTGATGTTCGATGGCACTCTAACATAATCCCATCGTTTCTATTGAACTCCGCGTGCAACTGACCGCTATTAATACTATCAAGTACCATATATCCTCTTATCTGCTCTTTCGAATTTGATCCGTCAAAAGAACACTAATTTGCACGTAAAAATACAAGAGATTAAACGATTAAACGATTTCGACGATTAAGCTAATGGAAAAGGCAATATTGCCGGTTCATAGAGAGACCGAAAGTGACTGCCAATGGAAGTGCAATCAACGAGACCTAAATTTCAGCTCGAATTCCGTCGCCGTTTCCCCCGAATTTCAAACGATGCTTATTATAATGGAAGAAAATGGAGCGTTCGTTATCGGCACGCTTTTCGCCAGTAATTACGCATTCGACGACAATGCTATACATTTGAATCCAGCGAGTTGAGGCGAGACGATCTGATAATGGACCTAAGCGCGGTGAGACGCCGGGTGCAGCGTTTCACCCGATACGGGAAACAAGGAGGTGTGGCGCGAATTTGACTCGTGCACCGGAAACGGAGGCGGTTTTTGCGCGGAGATCGACGGAGCCGCTATATAATCGCACGCTTGGTCGTTAGTAGCGGAGCCCGCGGCGACATTCAACCCTTGCTGCCGTGAAACCAAGCAGCCACGACCCTCGTTTCCCACCACCGCCTAGCCCCTTACCCCCTAACATCCTCTTTCCACGTCGAGCTCGTGAACCTACGTTACCACCCCCGTGACACCTCGTCGTCACACCAGACGTGCGCGCGGTGCTCTATTCTTTTCTCGGCGTCACTCGCTGATATTTGGTTTTCTTTGATTCCGCTGCGGCGTTCGCCTGTGATTAGGGAAAAGCTTCTCTCTCCGGCAACGACTTCGTTCCTCGTGTTTTTCACCCTTTTCCTCTGTCCCCTTCTTCTTCTTCTTTTCTAGATTTTCTTTCCTTTTTCGCCTCGTTTCGCCACGTACCATCCATCACATAACCCTACCACCATTACCACTACCACTACCACTACCACTACCACTACCGTCACCACTATCGTTGCCGCCTTTATTTTTCCTCTTAATGTTTTTTCATTTCTTTTCCGCGGTTTTTGCACGTGGATATTATCGTGACTCTAGCGAGAATTGCTGGTCACGTTTCTCAGAACAGAATAAAAGATTCTCAAACGAAGGGAACCCTGCAACGCGCTTTCGACATATCAAATTCACATCGGCTTGCCTCGTAAAAAAAATTTATACCGCGTGCGCGCAATTGTGTGTTTGCCTGTTAAACGTACGAGAAAATCGCGCAATATCCTCGATACTCGAACATTTCCCCTCTAATTTGCGGAAGTAAATATACGAGCCATCACTTTGATATTTGCGCGAGCCCGCATCGCTTCCGAACTGTAGGCGAAAGTATAAAGGTTGAGTTTTTTCGGTCCGTTAAAAGTCGACCCGTGGCAAGGGCCACATCTACACGTACACCTCTGGCTTCCTGTACGCGAGGTTGGTGTTTTTAATTTTTTTGAGCACTAGTTTTCCCCTGTCGACACTCTCTTTCTCTCCCTCCCTCCCTCTCTCTCCTTCTCTCTCTCTCTCTCTCTCTCTCTCTCTCTCGGCAACCATGTTTCGTGGCTCGGCCTCGCGATTTTCCAACTTTCGCACGCTCTCCTGTCGACGAAGCCGAGCGTTTGTTAACGCGTCGGTTATAATATCAAAGCACCTGGCGTGCATGCCTTTTCCATTTGCACCCGGTCTCTTTGATGGATTTTCTTTTGATTCGATACGGATGCCGTTGGAACGCGCTTTACCCCCTTACCTCGCTGAAACTCGTACCAACGACCTTTGCGTTCCTAGCACGCAAGCACGAAATCATTTTACGTTTCACAGCTTAGTGGTATTACAAGGCTACGGTCGTTTCATCACCAGTGTCTTCACTGGATCCACAAAGTACTCGTTTAAGGATTTGCCTGCTTTTCCTCTCTTAACAGATCCGTGATTTCGGACTTTGCACCTTTGCGACTTCGAAATTGGAATAATTTAGAAATGAAACTTTGCTCTTTGTCAGTGGCAGTGTTTTTCTTAATTAAAAAGTTAAAAATTTTGTTATTTCTTAGCATTAAGTCGATAAAAGATATAATGATGGATGTTACATGAAGAAGGGTATATAAAATGCATCGATGATTCCAGGACAAAACTAAGAGTTCTGTTCGTTTCTACGCTCGCCGATATTAAAAGTCTCCCTTTTGTGTATCTTGTTGCATTGTACGCGTTGTACGAGAGGGTGTAGAGCCGAGATCGAATGTTCTCCCAATGGGTCACATGCTTTCAGCATGAGATACTAGAAAAAATTTGTTCTTACGAATTCCTGTCGTATCATATCTGGAGGGCTCACCGTAGGGAAAAAAAGGGCTAGAAGTGACTTTTCGAAGGTGTGCCATTAATTTCTAGAGGAACGAAAACTAAAGCCCCGCTGCGTACATTGCGAATACTCTTGTGGCAACGGAGCTTCCTGACGAAGTCAATTAAGCCCTTTTGTAACAAGAAACACTGCCAGAAGTAGTAGAGAAGATGGCGAAAGGCGAAGTGGTGGGTGTTCGTTAGAAGGATCATGCACTCACAGCACATTTCAAAGAAGAGCACGATTCAAAGCAGTGCTCTTCTTTCATTATCTTCTCTTCCCTGTAACCCGTATGCCATGGTAATTATCGTTCGAAATCAATACTACGCCACACTGTTTCGATTTCCCCAGATGCAAAAACTTCACAGCTGCAAAGAGAATCGGTACGCCTGCAAATCCAACATCTATGCGTATGCCGCACGCCCACCCGGAGACTTTCCGACAATTCATCCACTATATATACACTGGCAAGGTAAATGACATCACGAGCAGATTCAGAATTTATAGCGTGTTTCTGACATGGAAGAAACCATCGAAGAAAGTTTTACGTTGACCTAACGGTATGGCTGAGTTTTACCCCTATAACTGTTCCATAGATCATGCTACAGGACAGTGGCATCTTCGAAATGTTGGGACTTGCTCAAGAACTGGGAGTCGAGGAACTTTGGAGAAGTTGCGAGGAACATGTCTCCGCTACTCTCAGTCCAGGAAATGCGTGTGCTCTTTTGACTGCGGCTCTCGATGCCCAGGAGCGAGTACCCGGTAAGTTGTTCATGACATACTGTTAAAAGTTTGCCTATGGAACGAACTTCGTTTTTGAATTTGCTGAATATCTCGAATAATAGAAAATAGAACAACAATTATAATCTATAACGATTGTACGTTTTGAAAATGAAAAATGCAATATGTTCAATCGAAATATAAAACAATTTTTCAATAATTAAAAATATAAAATGATGAATAATATAATATGATGAATAATATTGAAATAATATATTTTTATAATACGATATCCGACTAAAGAAGCCACGTATGGCTCAATTTTATACATTAGGTAAAGAAATAAATTAAAATGAATATTTTTTATTTAAAAAATCATAGTTTGCATATTCATATAGTAATTACGTGATTAGTTATCGGCCGCGCTCTTCATTGTGTAATTGACGTGCCTGCCACCAAGGCAGCACTACATAGGGAATTTTATTATCTCAACCTTCTTTATTATATCAATCTTCTATTTTATCCCTATGTTTGAATTTCCCTAGATATCTTTAATATTAAAAAATATATTAAAATTATATTAAATATTTTAAAAATATATTAAATATTTTAAACTTTTCCGATTTATAATTTCTGGATCATATCAAAATTTCTTCAGTTAAAGTTTGATAACTCAATTTTGAGTCATAGTTTAATTAAACGAAAGCGATAGGGAAAAATGAAAGCGTACAGTTGGTATAACCACGACGCCATATTTTCCGGCGTTTCATTGCCAAGCACTCATTTATCAAACGTTACTTACTAATTTTTGAAAATACATCACAAAAATGTCGTACAAAGGACCACAAAAGGTTCAAAAGGTGATGGTACAACCCATCAACCTTATATTTCGATACCTCCAAAATCGTTCACGCGTGCAAGTGTGGTTATTCGAGAACATCAATCTACGAATCGAGGGTCATATCGTTGGATTCGACGAATATATGAATTTAGTACTAGACGATGCAGAGGAGTATCATATGAAGACAAAAAACAGAAAACCACTTGGACGAATTATGTTGAAAGGCGATAATATAACATTAATACAAAATACAAATCCAGGAGCAAATTAAAATGTTAAAACATAACCTCGGAGGATGTTTCAAGATAAACAAAAAGGCGTATTGTTTCATACTTTGTGCGATTATACGTGCTGAAAGTGATTTAAAAACGTTTAACAAAGACAAAGTCACCATCTTCCAAGTTGTACAAGTTGTGATGCAAGTAACTCAGTATAGTTGAGAAGAACAATGATAAATTAATAAGTACAAGTTATAATTGAACATACCATTATGATAAAGTGAGAGTATTGTTTTCTATTGGGAAATTTGTTTGCTTTTGTAATCTAGATTATTCTTGGAATATTTTAAATTTCTGAGAGAAAAATCCATATGATATATTCGTGATAACAATTTGTAATGAATCTTGTATTTCAGTATATTTCTAATTTTCAAAAGAATTTCAGATGTAAATTTTACACGATTGAATAATTGTAATAGATATGAAGCGGATAAGCATTTAATAAATATTTTTTAATCAAAATTTGTGTTGTGTTTATATTTATACTGTTGCCAAATTTCTGAATTACATAGTTATTTTATCTGAAAAAACTATAACTTAAATTTAAAGGGCATAGAAGTTAAGTATTTAAACCATACTTTAATTTCATCGTCAATAGAAGATATAATACTAACAAAATATCTTTTATTATCACAGGTGGTAAAGGGGCTTGCTCCTCCTTTATTGAAAGATGTTTCATTTTCATTGGAGAGAATGCGGTAGATACAGTCAAAACTACAGCATTTTGTAATCTTCCAAAGGACGCTCTGGTGAAATTAATATCTTCCGACTACCTAGGATTGGAGGAAGAAGATGTTTGGAGAGCAGTACTGAACTGGGCTAAATATCAGGTTCTTTTTTTTTGAACATTTTATTCTGTTTCCGACCACTTTGAATCCGTTGAAAATTCCAAGAAGACTTAACGCTCTGATCGTGCGTATGTCGTGCAAGGTCTTAGACCTTATATCGCATACGATTATTACCGGGTCCTTGGGTCCTTAGGTTCTTGGATCGGAATTTAGAATTACGAGTTAAGGAACGCTTAACCGTACGGACCACGCTCCTAGGCAGGGGTGACGCAGCCTACTCAACACTGGACAGAGGAGGAACGTGTGCGGGTTTGCCAACATTTATCAGGAGTGATAAACCACGTTCGCCTGCTTCTAATCGACAGCCAGGTCTTTGCGGAGGAGGTAGAACCAACAGGAGCAGTGCCCATAGAACTTTCCTTGGAGAGGTACGAATTTTTCAATCCCGATCGATCAAGTGGCACAAAACCCATAAGGTATGGTTTGCCAGGAAATTTTCTTATTCTTGGAGGCTTTCGATTTTTACATTTTGTTTTAGATATAGGTATGCAGCCCTACCAAACAAGTATGCAGAAATCTGTGCAGATAAGCGGCTACAGCCAAGAGTAAGTCCATTCTTGTTTCCTGGGTCACAAATCCTATCGCGAGATAAGATGGGTTTCCAACGTCTTCTCAATCAGTGGTATGGATCACCAAAGCAAAGTTGGCGTTTAGTATATCGGTACGTTTAACCCATGTCGCGGAAACATGAATATTAAGATCAGTGCAATGTATAGTAACTACGAATATGTTTCAGAGCCTCTAATCACGATTACTCTGCAACAGCGTTCCACCGACATTGCGATGGAGTTTGTCCAACATATGTAATTGCATTGGTAAATACTTTATATATGTAAAGCGAATAAGCCTACAACTAGCAAACAATAACCTAACTTTCTAGGGCACTCGAGGAGAAATCTGTGGTGGGTTTAGTGATGCACCGTGGGGTAAAACGAATGCTAAAGGACATTATATCTTCTCGGAGAAAGCTTTTTTATTTACCCTGACTAACAACCAAGATGTACCTCCAACGAAATATGATATTGTAAAGAAGCCCTTTGCAATTTGTTATCATCCAGAGTAAATATCATTTCACCAACTACTATAAAACATGAAATGAATTCTACTGATTGAAACTGACTTTTACAGCATTGGACCAATTTTCGGAGCAGGAGCTGATTTGTTAATTTCTAGTAACTGTAATGTGAACAAGGAAAGCTACAGTAATCTTCCCCATAGCTACGATGGGGAACACGCTTCTAACACTGTACTCATGGGAGATTATCATTTTTTTGTAGTAGATTACGAAGTTTTCACCCTCAGCCACCAAGTTCCCAAATCTACTCATTAACAATATAAGTATTTTTCATTCCATGAGCTGAATGAGCTTGTACATATACTACTGCATACTTTTTTTAGTAAATTTCACTTAACATAGCGAGTATAATATAAAGTAGAAATGCATTAGATATTAAAAAATGAAAGCATAAAAGTTGAAAGCACAAGTTGTTCAGTTTTCAAGTGAGTAAATTTTGGCACAAAGAAATATGTAATTTTTTATGCTGTTCAAAATAAAGAATAAATCAGAATTACTTTTAGCCTTTCCAATGTGTAATGAGCAGCGAATAAGAAGTCGTCCAATATTGGTATTGCAATTTGGCTCTCGATAGAATTAAAGTATGCCAAACGATACTTCGTGGTTTGCATAATGAATGCTTGATATGTTACGGTGACCGAGTCTCAAGGAACTCGTTAAATTGTCTAAGCCTCACGTTAAATTGCCTTGTGAACGAATGAAATCTAATCTGTATTACAGTGGCGCGTTCGAAAGTAAACGTGAAATGTGAAAATCCACGGAAAAATGCGAACTACTGAGTATGCATTAGAGTATCAAAGGCGCCGATGACACGGATGTATACTTGATAAGTAAAATCGTACTGATTCTACTTATCCCTGGTTGAAATTTAAATTTCAATTTACATGAAAAACTGTGTGACAATTCGAATCACGTATTCCAATTAAGTACGCAAAACATGAAAATTTATTCACCGCACAATGCATTATTTGGCACTTTCTCTTTAAATAATCAAACAGAAAACTCACCTTTCCCTTCATTTTTGCAACTGCATATTTTGACACATTTATCCATTGTCTCAAAATTTTGCCGATAGAAGAATATAATTTTTTCACAGAACTACACTTTGTTCGATATATTTTACAAGAAAATTTATCATAAACACCGATTATCGAACGTTTTAACGCGACGCGATTGATATTCGAATTGTACAAACCTAACGCCAGGTTGCTACTGGTCAAAATTCAAACTGAATGTCACTAGTCAATATCTTGTCATTTTTAATTCATGATATACTTCGAATATTTATTAATAACAATGGATGTAATTTTTAAATGTCAAACAGCGTATATAATAATGAAGAAGATTTGCTTGTATATCTTAATTGAAAAAATTATTTTAATTTTGAATATAATATTTTCTTACTCATGCGTGACTAACGTAGTTGAGACATCCATTTCGAACGTTCCATTTTTCGGATTCTGTTCCGCGTTCCGTGTTTTCCGATAGGTTAGTAAAGCGGTGGCGCGAAACGCTTGTGTATCGTAGTGGTAATTGTGCCTGATTATTTCCTATTTATTCGTGGATACACATTGCTTTGCAGGTGAGTTGCGTAATAATGTAGAATATTGACTTTACTCCACTCGATTCACGTAATATTTGCGGTTCTCGCGGTGATGTTACGAAAATTTTACCTGGTTCACGTCTATGCGATTTTCGTACGTGCGAGCTATACGGGCGCCCGTTCTATTTGATATACACAACAAAGGTCGTAAAAATATATTCCACTGAAACTATTTGACACTATGAGTACAAACTTTTAATATTTGATAGCGATAGTTTGGACAATTTGCATACGTGTATATATTTTTGAATTTATGCCACAGTTATGTTGAATATTTGCATTGAAATGGTGCAAGTATGCACGGCCATGTTTTTTAACGTTTAAACGTATCACGTGACTTTTCGTATCTTCTAAAATATTTTTTAGATAAATAAGTATCTCTCTTGTTTGATCATTTGTATATTTTTCATGAAATTTTCCCGAAGCGAAGTAGCTTGAAAAATTATCAGAAAATAACTAAATTATGTTTTTATAAATTTTTTTATCAAAATATGTAATGTTTTTAGGAATCACCAACGGTCAATGGACATGTAATCACGCGACCCTAAAATGTAATTGGAGATATCGTCGAATAACGTAAGTGAATTGAAAATAATATTCGATTAATCAATTGTATATTTGTAACAATCCTTTAACTTTTTTTGTTAACGTTATCATTTGCATTTGTTTGTACCATAGCATTCTGTACAATAGCTCGTTTTATTTTAATGTTTTAACTAGTTTGATGTGGCAGTGAGTGGTGTTTGTAATTCTAAGAAATCGCTAATTCTATTATTTAATGCGTTACAAATATCGCAAAATCAGTTGAAGGAGTGTTCATTGATCAACAAAATAAGTATTTTTTCGTCAACATTGCTAAAAAAAAAAGTATTTTTTGATAAAAATTGTTCAGTTCATCAATCTAGGTCGCTAGATATTGGAACTGCAATACTATAGTTTTTAAAAGTAATTTATATTTACAAATATGAGGGCCCAGGGATTCATATATTTGTACTTTACTTGTGAAATAGCATGGCTTTGTATTGGTTTTTGTAACGTTGTCGTTGAGAATTGTGTTAAGTATATTATAACTCATTCACAATTCATTTGTTTCAATGAAGAATGATTTATATAATTGTTTAAATTCGTGAAATACACTGCTCAAATTAATTAGGTCATTATTTAATAGAATATGGTAACCGATACTCTTTGTAATTTGGAATATATATATAGTATCTTTTACTATCATAGTAATGTCTGATCACATTTTTCTAATTATTTCGAGCATTGTAATTCGTTAGTCACTATCATCTACTAGCTATATACAAGTAAGTACTTACTGGCCCGGGTCCCGTTCACGCAAACCTTGCCTAACTATTATTTACACTTTCGTTACCGCCTTATCTTCTAACTTCGGTAAATAGAATTACATGTACCCATGTACAGACTTAGGTATCAATTAAATAAAATATTTCTATAATTGCACGTGTTCGGAATTGCAATACAATCAATAATATTAACCACTGAACGAAATACTGGCCATTTATTGACTACTCTCATAACCATCGATAACAAGTATCTAACGAAGCATAAGGGTAGAAAATTGTTAATAATATTTCTTCGTTGTACCGTTCGAGCTTAACGAACGAAACGCAATCGTTTCAATTATATTTATGTACTCTCTGCATACGATTGTTTACGATTTCATTTATCTCGTTCGAATGCCCGACGAACTTCAAATACGTAGTATTCCTCGTTGTTTCGAAATATTGTTACGGTCGGGCCTGTGAAAATTTCCCTCGGAAGGCCGACCCGACACACAAGCACCTCCAGAGGATTAAAAAAAAAAAACAGTATTTCGAGCGACGTGACGTAAATCGCGCACGACCTAATGTCTTACTAAAAGCAAATCTGTGTTCGAGCAACTCAGGCTGGAAAAGTATCGTCCACGTGGTTTCAGCGAGAGCAGGATCCCTCGATCGTGGTAAAAGGCGCAGGTATTTCACCGAAATTTTCTGGCAAGCTATGTTCGCCGGACTCGTCATGGACATCCGGCGAACAAGGCCCGTCGCGAGTACGATTCTCATATCACGGAGATTCTTCAGACGCGAGAATGTATGAATAGGTGCGGGACAAAAGCAAAGAAGAGGCGGCAAAGCGGCAGCGACGGAGGCGTTTACATTGGCAGGCGTCGAACGCTTGTAAGATAAAGCGGTTGGCAACGTTCTACACGTGTACGTCGGTTTGTAACGCACGTTCCGAACACGTGCACCCTGCAGTTTGACGTGTTTATCAATCGATGCACCACGGTTGCACTCCGTCGTTGCTCTCCTGGTTCTGCAAACGCGTCAGCACCAGGTTCTTCAGCTCTTTTCTTCTTTTTCTCTTTACCATCTTGTCTCTCCTTCTCTTTGTCCTTCTTTATCTCACGTGATTACCGTAGGAGCGCGCGCGCGCGCGCTCGTTAATTAAAGCGGAGGACTCTCGTTAAAGTCGATTGGCTTTTGCGCAACCAGCCATCGATCGGCGACTCGCGATCCTCGCCGTGATTACCCGGAATTGAGACGTTAATCCTTCATTCTTTCAGCCGCCGTGGATATTTATGCGGGATTACAGACTCGCTGCGAATTGCGTTTAACTATTCGGCGCGAATGATTTGTCTCCGTGATCACAGCCCAATCCGGTAATTCCTGCTTGACCGGCGAACGCAATTAAAGATAATGTACGATTCTGGGAAATTTGCTCGACAATAGAGCGCCCGCTGAGTCTTCCTGACTGACATTCAACCATTTACGGAAAAGGGAGCGTAATTGATTACGATATCACGCGTCCCTTTCTCACGTGCCGTATTTGGCACTCGATTAACTATTTTCCACGCTCGCAGCCAATTATTTCGTTTGACTTTCAGCGAACAAACGATGTTTCAATCCACTTTTCCGAACGTAATTCTTCCGTTTAGGTTCAATCTGAGTTTTCGTTTAAGATCTCGTCGTTAGATCTATGGGCGTTGACCTCTTTTTCGCAGGAGGACTATCTCGATCGCTCACGTTCTCGGTATCTGTTTTGTCTTCCTCCGCTTTGTTTCTAACAGAAGTGGCGACTGATTTCATGGACAAATCCATGGGATTATCTTGAGGAGGAGGACACTCCGTTTCCGATCCTACATTACACAGTGGCGAATTATTTCGAGAATGTTCCTTCACCATCGGTGATCCTTCCGGGTGTGCTCGTTGACTTTTCAACACTGCATCCAGATAGAATCTTTTGCTATACGTTTCCCCGCTTTCTTCGTTCGGCGAGGAACTTTGCCTCGACGTCTGGACGTTGTTATTATGCGCATATCTGTCGTTGTTGTTATTACTATGATTATTGTTATTATTTCCACACGAGTCTTTGCCATCGATGGTAATTGTCGTGCTAGTCGTGATGGCCGTTGCAGATGTGATTGGACTGGTTGTGTCTTCGATCACAGGCGAGTGTCGTAGCAGAGTCGATGAATGGTTCGATACCAAAGGGTGAGGAGCTCCGTGAGACGTCGCGTACAAATGATAGGGCGAGAACATGGTGAGACTTGGCGGTGGTAGAAACGCTGGTGGAATCAAGGACATTCCACTCAGGTGAAAGCCAAGGGGTAAACTCATCATTTCTTTGCTGAGCGCCGATAGGTCGGCCACGGAGGGTTGCAGGTGTGAGTGTAACGGTCTGAAGCCTGGGTGTCCTGAGAAGGCTGCTCTTCTTTCCGATATTTCTACGGAACTGTCGCTGTTGTGCGATTCCGGAGAACTGATGCTAGGAGAAGTCGAGTTCTTGTAGTCATCCAAACCTAGCATGAGCGCGTCGTCTTTTCGTTGACCTGGATGTATTCCAATTGGTGGGCTCATGGGTTTTCGTTGCTGCGTTAGAGGTTGGTTGGGCAGATTCTGCTGATAGTGTTGCTGCTGCTGTTGCTGCTGTTGCTGCTGTTCTTGCAGCAGACAATGGATTTTGAACCAGTTCGATCTGCGCCCGTATCGCGAGCCAGATTTCGACATACCCACGAGCAAACATTTTCGTAGACGACAGGCCTTGCAGGCCGTCCGGTTCTTCTTATTGATCACGCACTCTCCGCCGTTTTTGCATTCGGAAATACTACTCAGGTTGTTGTAAGATCTACCGAAGAAGGACTGAAACAGAGAAAGGGAATATTTCGTTATTGTTAATGCGGTATGATAGCTTTATTCACGTTAATTACCCCGACAAAAGGAATCAAGCTTCAGCTGATTACAAAGAGAGACAAAATCTAGAATGCAAATTCAGAGGTCATAGATTCGCTCGGGAGATCCGACGCGGCTGCAACGGCATTGTGCCCCTCATAATGAGTACGGTAAAGTTGTTAGACGGTAACAGTGTGCTCTCGTTGTCTCATTCATGTTGTACAGCGGGGAGTCAGCTGGTGTAGGCGCGTGCGGCCTACTGTGCTCGTGCTAATTGCCCAAATGGTGCAATTTCACGATTCCGACACCGTTGCCTTTCCGTGTCGGCGTCACGAAACGGTCTCCTTTCGTTTACACATATTCTCACTCCGTTTCTTTCCGATCTACCCATCGCGCTTCTTCGACGCGTCGATGCGTTCTACTTCCACTCAATTACGTTGAATCGAGAAATACCTCCGATACCGATGGAACTTATTACACGGAGAGTTATTTCGCCAGCATCGCACGGATAACGCAGATAGCGAAAAAAAACTCAAATGGCAAATTCTGTCTTACGAAACGCGCGCAATTTAAGGCCTCGTTTCTTATGACAGACATCAAATCAGCCTCGAATGATGTATGCATTTAAAGCCGACTATTGCGCCCCGAAACACCTACGATTTCCTGTGTAACCTGATAGAAAATTTCGCCCTTCGCGGTTAATGATCAGTCTTTAAAGAGACGCAGGTTCGCGCATGCACGTGACGTCCACTTTCGCTTTTTCTGCTCGTACGCACGCTATATTATTAATCGTTTCTGGTTCGTTTGTTCTGAAAACGAGCTCTTCCTGCGGCCCAGTGGTCCCAATGCGCGCATTGCCGAGACCTACCACCCGTCACATTGTGTTCCACTTGTCTTTCACGTTTACCAAGTACATTACCCGAGCCACGATGTTGCAAGGTCATATCTTATCGATTGATCCCGCGATCTTTTATTCGTTGCGGATCTGAGGATTTAAGACTGGCTCGCAACGAAGGGCTAAGAAGATCAGGAGGATATGCGCGACGGTTCAGAAGCGATGACACAATCGAGAAAATGCTACCGTTATTACATGCCTCCTTCGTGGCGCGCACGGGCTTGTGTTATGCAAACGGGGCAACAGCGGGGTCTGAAACTTCAAAGTGCCGGCTCGCGCCTTTTCATCGTCAAACCTTCCACAGTTGGATTGTATTACGGTTTCCTTTCGAAAACTGCTCGATAAATAGACCGGCTAATTACGCCACGGCTGAACTTTCGTGCTAAGAAACGTATCTCTGACTCACGCCGTGAAAAAAAAAAAGAAGACTAAAAAGGAGGAGAGGAGCGACAAAGGTTGAAATTCGTTCTGAGTGGTGGATGGCGATAATGAACCGTTGTGCCATTTTTACCGGTTTCATGCTTGTTCTTTTTTTTTTCTTCTTTTTTTTTCAAAGACTTGACAATCCGCTACATTGGTCAATTATATCGGCTACGTCGATCGTTGTACGAAGTCAAGGGCCGTGACAAGTCGCGCTCTTCGAGGTTTCACCGTGAATGATGTGTATCTCGATCGTGAGACAGATCTATGGTAACAGGAGACATTGTGACCGCGCGAGCACGTGCACGCGCGTTTCGTCAATTCAGTTCTGATCACGGAGCGGCTTCGAGGCAGCGTTTCCGGCGCTTCGCACTTGTCTGCCACAATTGTTTCCGCCCTAGTTCACGATTACGTCAGCTCGACATTGTTTCGTTTCGTTATTTTCGTTTTCAGGCCCATCGTAGCATGTCAGCTCTCCCCTCCTCGGCGTTCTTACTATTCTATTCGACATCGTTTGCTTTTACGCTCGACTCGCGGCGTACTACGATTCGACAATACGCGGCTATTCGTTTTTTCTTTGAGAGACCTCGTAGTTCTACTCTGAGATTTTAAATACAAAATCTGTGACATTTTCACGAGGTACGGCAATTTCAGGAGAAAATTGAACGCTACATTTACGATTACACTTGTATCAGATTGAATATATGTATGTTGAACATTAGAGATTCCAAGATTCTAACGAACTACTTTTCGAGACGGATCTTCGCATAAATTGTAAATCATGTAGGTCGTTTTAATCGGGAGAAATCGGTCGGACGATCGATCGGTGCTCTTCAAACGTCCCTTTGAAGCTAGAAATTTAGCTCTCCTTACACAGCGATCGCTGACCGGTTCACCAAACATGGTCGCTGTTACTTTTGGGGGGACCTGGTTGACACGCATGCCTAGTCAAACGTTTAACCTCGGCCACGAAGCGGCTCGTGAAAGCGATCAACGTTTCTCAGCTTTGCGAAACTGTGGAAAAGATCGCCGGCCAACAGCGTGCAGAAAAAAACAAAGAGGGGGGAAAAAAATGGAACCAGCTAGAAAACTTCTGGCATTCCGTCGTTTCTCTTTCACGATCTCTCTCTTACGTGTATCGATTTCCTTCGGATCGGTACATTCGCGACAGTCAGAGGCAACCATCAACGACGAAACTTATTACAACCGAATTACAAGACGATGATCGCCTTTCAATTATCCCCGTTTCAATTTGATCGCTATCTCGACCGTTCGGATTTCCATGAAACCTATGTCGTTTCGTGGAAATGATCCGCGGCGGACTCACCTTGCAGCCCTCGCAGGTGAACGCTCCAAAGTGGAAGCCTGCCGCGGGTTCTCCGCACACCTTGCACTGTTGATTCATCTGCAACAGAAAGACAACAGCCTCCTTTGATTTCGTCCCGTTATATTTGAAAAGGACACGCTCCGCGCGTTATTCCATCCATATCGACATAACGAAACTTTGTTCCTCCAAGCAATTCGTAATTCTTCCGACGATTACGGGCTTCCGTTACGGTAAATGACGAAACCGTGGGGAAAACAACGAATCGATGTCGCGTAATGCGCTCGCGTGCATTTCAAACGTTCGACAAAATCACAATGCGAGTCTTATCGTGTGCCCACAACCGATCGCGCGCGATTGGGAAAGAGAAGAAGCTCGTTGCGCAATTCGCCGGTTTGCGCGATACGCGCGAATCGCTGGATCGTGGCAAAGCGGTGCGTGTTACGTTCAACGAGCGGAAAACCCTCGTGCACTTGCTTCTTTTTTTTTCTCTCCCTCTCCCTCTTTCGTTGTATTCTTTCGCGATGGTCTCCTTCCAGTCTGGCTAGTTCCTTTCGCCTTCTTTGGCCGCTCGTCCAGAAAACAGATCGCTGCGGTCTCGTTTTCACACCTCGCCGCTTCTGTTCCCTTACTGCGTCTTCCTTACGCCCGTAAATCGTAAAGCCGCTTGCATAATACTCCACGCTTTAAAAATTTTTTTCTTATATTGGCGGCGTGTCCTTTGTTCGTTAATTGTTCGACCGATCGAGTTTTCCTCGCCGCTTGAAACCGATTACGCTGTTCTCCATACGTTTCTCTTCCTTCTCACCTTTCTCGTCCTTTTTACTTACGACCGTCTCTGCATCTGGTGAATTATAATGAGGAGCGAATATAGGACAATAGCGGTGACCCACATACGCAGCCCAAGGGTATCTCGCTCGCCGGTGTCACCTGCGGCGACTTTCATACATGACAGACTGTCGCTAAATGGGAAAGTAAATCTCAGCTAATGGAAGAGACATCGATTGTTTGATCAACGGAGTCTCTCTCTCCTGACCTACACCCCACAGTCGTTGACACTTCTCATTCGCGGACGCACGACGCCTCGACGTAGGCCTATGCATACTCTTAATTCCGCGTTCGATTCTTTTCTGTTTAGATACGAGCCGCGCGCGTCCCAACCTCTTCCTCGTCTCCTTCGTCTTCTTCGTCTCTTCCTCGTTGCCCGCCACTTTCATAAACGGTGCACGCTCGTTGTCACTAGACCCGTACAACTTTTTTTCTTTGGGACAAATGAGCTATAACAGCATGCGAATATCCTCCTCGCTCTGTGACGACGGTTTTCTACTAGAAAAATATAAAAAGAGCAAGAGAGGCGGAGAGAGATGAAAGAGAACGATCTTTTCACGGGTTCGTGCTAACAGTATTGCTACAGAATATTTTCGAATCGAGCGGAAAAACTGGCGTATCCACGTGAAGCAATCGTCGCGGTTTGTTTGCCGGACCTCGACGATTACCCTCGCGAAATCGATCGAACGCGGTAATATCGCAACGGGACGCTAAGCGCGGAGAATTGGATAAACAAAGAGTAACAGATGGCCGGTTAATTGAATTTAAATGACGTCGTATTCTCGTTAAACGTAGCCTCCAGGCCTCGTTGATATTTTAAGAGGGGAGATATCTCTTCTCTGCCTGTGCTGGGCTCGGCAGGATTGTTCTGTACTATTAATTACCGATAGATGTTTGCTATTGGACCGATCGATCCTCGGCAGAGTCGACGATGCGCCCGAGCTATTGCAACCTGCACTGATTGCAGGTGTGCATCCGGTGAGCCATTCAGGGGGTGCCTGCATACTCGAGCGTTCGACGCGAGTTGCCAACGTTTAAGCCATATTGTTACGTCGGTGTGTCGCAACGGATACCCGGCTCTTGTGGGCTTAATAGAATACAAGATGCGAAAAGAATGATAGATGATTTAACGTTCCCCTTTAACAAATGACTTTTAATTATCGTTCCTCCGCGGCCACAATAAAACTGTTGATTAATTAAGACGGCCTCGCATTTGCGTCGATAGATCCTGTTTAGATGTTACTTAACGAAATCGCCGTAACCCTCCGCGGGCTAATGGCCGTACAATGTACGACGTTCGAACGATAATTATTTCAGGTAAACGTGCCTGATCGCGCGGAGATTGATAACGGAAAGACTGCGTCCATTATTCGAAGGAAAAGTTATTCGAGTTACAAAGGGAGAGAAAGTTCACGCGGGTGTTTATTATTATTATGTGTTACGAATGTGAAAAGGCTATTGGAGGGGAATTCGACCGATTATCAACGAGCAGATGCGACAGTCTGTTTTCATACGATCACCTTCCAATAACATAACGATCGTCGTCAAGATCACTCGGGGATCGCCAGGAGGCGCGAGATTCTCGCGGGCGCAATTGTTGCGCTAGTCGTTCGAAGCCGTGAGAATCGTAACGAGCGCCGCTGCTCGTAACTTTCAGCGCAATCGGCTCTCCCGCCAATAGTGCTGGCGATCATCGTTCGATTCCATGGAACGACACAGAGAGTCGACTGAACGAGAAGGTGCAACCGGCACCGTTCAAACGTTCAAAGGGATCAATCGAAGTTCCTACGCTGCCGCTCGGTGATTGTCCTCCTTTCTACAGTTGACCTTCTCGATAAAAACACCTACCACGTTGCTCTTCCGCTTTGTACCTGCCACACACATACACACACACATACAAACGCACACAATCTGCACGAGGATTTTGCTAAAAGCGACCAGTCACCGTCAACGCTGCTTCGAGTATTAATTGGACAACGACACCGTGTGCTGGCCAATCGATCGTTAGAAGAGGTCTCTTCGGAATCGGTGGATTTTTTCTTCATTTGCATGCGCGTGAAAGTCGTCGCACGGCTGTTTTAGCGGAACTATTTTAAATGACCGACGCTTCGTTACTTTCGTCGGGGCACGTCGTCTAAGTACGACCGTAGAATTTTCCGTTTTCCCACGAACGGACGCGTATGCCTACGGAAATGTGTTTAGTTCCGTTTTCAAGAACACGGATTCCCCGCTGGATTATTTTTTTCTGCCGCTTTACGAACAAACAACGACCCAACGTGCTAAAAATTTCCTCTAAATTCTCCTAACTATGTTTTATGCTCGGCGATTTTTAAGCTACCCCTCTAAGATTGTAAAAAAGAGAGGTTCTTTTTGGGAATTCGACTCGGAGACCGTTGTTTACCTTTTTATTGGCGAAAAACAGCTCGCCTTTTTCTAAGGTACTGTAGCAAAGTTTGTCGAGCGAATGCTAGGGTAGGCACGGGCAGGTCACTTTTTTACTGTTCGATACGCTGGAGCCGTTACTATCAAGGACGACGTGCATTAAAAAAAAAAACCAACGATCGTTGCGATGCTACGTGGTTTTTGAAACGTTTCATTCCAATTTTCTTCTTTAAAAAGACGTATTAAATTGTTAAAAAAACGTATTATTAAAATTTCACGAAATTCAATACATTTTAGATCTAATTGATAACAGCTCGACTCTATGGTAATCGATGGTAACTTGGATCTAACTAGTCAATGATATGGAAATATTTCTTTTTCGTACATTTCCCCATATCTTATGCTTTCGTTCATCCCTCTGGATTTTTCATAAATCCATAAAAAACAATTCAAAACGCAGTAACGATTGCCAAATCGTCGCACAAGTTTATTTATCATGTGGCGTCTTTTCGGCCTCATCTTCGCGAGGCATCGCGATCCAGTTTGCAGAGAGCGACTTCCGGTCTTTCGAAACGAAACGGCGTTCCGCAACGCGTGCTACAGCGATCGGCCTTCGCGCGATGCAACCTGGACCGTTTGTTTCCGATGCTATTATTCTATCGCTCTTCGATAGCCAGTTCGTTCAGATTCCTATCAAACTATCGCGCAA